TTTATACGGCAACCACTTGGGGGAGCTGATGCAGAAATAATGATTCGAATGTGATAATACATATTATATTCTAAAAGACTAGAAAATAACAAAATGAGAAAACCTTCCCCTAATAACACATGCAGGTTGATTAAGTCAAATTTCCCCATCTGCTTCTTCAGAAAGCTTCTAATCTGTGCCTCCCTGTCTTTTTCTTTCTTGCGTCTTGTTTTGAGTGGAGTGGGGCAAGCGAGCGCTGTCTGCCTCTGAGGAGGGATCTACCTCCCCTCCTCTCACACAACCGAGGCAGTTCGATGGTGACAGACACCATGTCAAAACTGCATTATGGCTATACCCTCGGGCTGCCATTCTCTTTAGTCCCGTTTTGAAAACCCATGTCAGAACAAAAAAGAAATCAGCTAATGGCTCCGGAACATGTGACAATCCCTTTTTTTCACTAGTTTGTTGTCACTTAAAGGTCCTGTACTGTAGGTATGTCAATGTGTATTACGCCACGAAACAAATTAAGCGCCTCTGGTGTTTTGCAGTGATGGTGGTGCTCTATATGGGCCTGAGAAAACACAAGAAGGAGGACACTCTGATGTCATCTAAAGAGGACATCCGGGACAATGTGATCCACTATGATGATGAGGGAGGTGGGGAAGAGGACACCCAGGCCTTTGACATAGGTACGTTACGCAACCCCAAAGGCATCAAAGAGATGGCACAGCTGCAAAAAATTAGATCAGTGGATGAGCCCGATCGGGCTAGTGCGTGTATGTCCAATGAGGACAGCGAGGACATCCAAGCCTACATCCATCACTGTCTTCTGGAGAACTCAACACCTCCATATGACTCTCTGGTCACGTATGCATATGAGGGAGAAGGATCGGTGGCCGAGTCTCTCAGTTCCATTGAGTCCTGGGTGCTTGAACCCAAGGATGATTACAGAAATCTCTGTGACTGGGGTCCTCGTTTCAAAACACTGGCTGGAATATTTAAAGAGCATGAATGTAAGGACATGGAAAAGACAGAACATGAAGCACACACTGAGGTGCTAAATGACAGACTGGACTAAGAGCATTTTCAGGCGCTCTGTGAAAATCACAATGTTTATTTATTTCAGGCATGGCACTTAAAGGAATAGTTAAATTTAAAATGAAAATTATCATGTTGTTCCAAACCTGAATGACTTACGTTCTTCTGTGTAAAGGTCCGGTGTAATTAGTGAAATTTTGCTGAAATTTCATGTCAAAAAAGGTCCATTGTCTGTTTGTCATTATTGTAGAAATATATGAAGCATAGTTCACACAGAAGTTACTTTCAAACCAAACAGCTTTCTGCTGGTTAACATGAAAATCTGCATTGTGAAATATGTGTGGTGAAAGCTTTTGCCCTTACGTGATCTCATGTATTTTTATTGAAATTACTAGATTTTGCCTGTGAAAATTTGCTGAACAATGATAAATATGACTGCACCTTAACACAATAGAAGAGTGTTTTTTGTCCATACAGTCTATACAATGAAAGTCAGTGGGGATGAAATACTGTTTTGGACCCTTTTGACTTTGATATGGACAAAGAGGTTGAAACTTCACTGAACAACAGTAAAAGTCAACACATCATACAAGACATTTTAAAAATGTCTAAGATTTTTTTTGTATATATACACTAGTCTACACAATAAAAGTCAAAGGGGATGACATATTGTTTTGGACCCCACTGACTTTGATTAAATGGCAAAAACAGTTGAAAAGTCATTGACAACACAGTAAATGTGACCACACCGTAACACAAAAGTGAGTGTTTTTACCTATACAATGAAAGTGATTGACAGAATCCAGAAGAAAGTAAATCATACAAGTTTGGAATGTTTTAGAGTGCATAAATGTTGACAGAATTTTCATTTTGGGGTGAACTATTTTTTTTAAATTAAGTTGCCGTCTGTGGCTAGGGAAAGACACTGATAAGGCTGGCTATGTGCCTTTCCTATACCTCATGCATATTTTACACTCTACTGTTCACTATTTAGAAAGAAACTTGGAACTGTAATTTTTCCAACTGCATTTTAACATCTGTTTTATATTCTTCTACAAGTCAATGAAGCAAAAAAAAAA